ACTATAAAACGTTTTCCAGAGCACAGCATAGCTTTCAGGAAACGTCTTGTGCCTGACAAACTTTTCAAGAGCAGGAGTATCAGGTCAAGGCATAACATAAATATACTCTGGCAAAGTCTTCAAAATGTTCCCCAATAAAATACTGTTCACGAAACATGAAAACCATGGGATCAAATGCGTTTTTCTAAACACTGATAAAGAATCTGTCACAAGTAGGGGACAAGGTGTCAGAGTCAGCTAGAATTCTCCCCTAAGACAACGGAACGCAACAAAGTGTTGAAAGGCGCATCAAACGGGCTGTCAATGTAGTTGAAGATTGAACGATGAATTCATGGTTGTTTGCTCAAACCCAACTTCCCTATATTTTCGCGGAGACATCGATACACCAGTCATCGTCTCATCGGTCGCTGTTAACAAAGAAGTCAGGCCAAAACTGTCAGAAGTAACATTGTGATTTATTATTGTAATATTTGTTCATAGACCTTAGTTAAAGCTTAATTTTAAATTTGCCTATATGTTGGTGTTACAATAAAGAATTCTCGAGTAGCCAATCGGTGTTTTGGTTTCCGCGTCCGTTATTACCAAGCGTTTCTGAGAAACTTGAAGGAACAGCGTGAGTCCCAGCGTAGCAAGTGCTGGGCATTGACGGTTTTTGAGGAGTGGCTGACACGGGCCTATTCTATTTATTTTGCGTATTTTGTAAATTATCTGTGCTCATTGATCCCCCTCTGACCTTATGCACAAATGAATTCAAAACCAGTTGCAGCTTAAAAACTGCAGCCCACTGTCGTCAAGCGGAATCTTTTGACACCAGATTGTGAGTTCAGGATTTGAAAACTGCAGACAGGCAGCTATTGTTTTAATGAGGACTGACACTCTGGAACGGGTTCTAGGTAATGCTACAGGCATGATTCTTTGCAGGACCAACATATCATGCGTCGAAATCTAGACGGTTTGTAACTCTTCCCTTCATTGCTTTACCATGCTTGTTTCCCTTATAACACTCAGTTATTGAGCCTAATGTATTCTTTGATAATACGAATTATGACACTGACTATGCTCTTATTATACATAGATTGATTTACTTCACGACTACCTGTAGTACTAACTACCCTTCTGTAGTATTGGTAACCAAATGCGGAAAGTTTGTTGGTTCTTTTAATATCTTTTTATAATATATGTAGACAGGTTACTTTGCAATGTCAGATGTTAACTATACATAAGACTGTCATGATAATTTAGTACACTAAGTCCTGCCAACCGACCTTACCTTCAGTTCATACTACCTACATTGATCCCTAACTATATTGTTCTGCTGAATCTTGCTCCACTATTCACAAAACCTGTTCTTCTTATTCTTTCAGGTTTTTCCTTCTTGTAAAGTAATCTGTTCATTAGGACGCATGCATACATATATAATGTTCATAAAGATGTACGCGGAGACCTATTGGAAGCACTCATTAAGAAAGCTAGGGAGATGGAATATGAGGTACGAACATGTCTGGTACCAAGCAGTATATTTGCGGTAGCCATAATAATCATAGTCTCAGAGCCTAACATCAAAAAAGGAGGGAGGGTGGCGTTAGCTGATCAGTAGATATGGTGGGGGTCACTAAGGTGAATCGCCCCATTCTGCAGGAACAGCAATATACAAATTAAAGGCTCGAGATATTTCTGATTTTTATGAGGGCTTAGATCTTTATCTTGAAAAAGATAATAATGAACGCCTTGACAGATCATGCTTCTACCTCTAAATATATACTATTCGCCCAGCCTATTGTTGAGATGCGACCATGTGGGCTCTGCACAGTTTTATAAGGCATCTTATAAACTAACTTGCTGTCCATTGACTGATCTTTAAATACCACTTCACAATGTCTTATCTCATTCATTTCCCAATAACGTCTTTACTTGATCCTCATTATATCCCATTAAACCTAACATTTTACAGCTCTTTATGACTTATTATATTCCTACTCTCTGAAGGGTACGGTTGTACATTAAATGTACAAAAAGGTATAAAACAAAAACAACTGGCACAACTGAGGATAAATGTATTAAAACCAAAAGTGGACATCATGATAGTACGAGATATACGTGTAGCATTATACATTGCAAATGAACGTTGCAGCCTAGGGAGTTTTCTTTATTAATGCATTTATTAATGATACTTGCACTTACCTATTTCATTACACTTTAATGATTCACCTCAGCACTTTTACTTTTCTAAAACAGCTTTCAATCCCTTGTAAACGTTGTACTTACCTCAATATTGGTTGGTTATCGTATGCCGACAACCACGGGATGAAAACGAAACGAAGTCGATTTTCCCGCTCAACCTGGAGGACAACTGTACAACTCAATAACTATACAGCCTAGTTCAGACAATGTGTGTTTATATATATATCAAATATTTAACTGTTGAAACATTATTAACTTGTAGACAATCTACGATTTGATATTATATCATACTTGATCGTGCCTGTAAAAATGGCATGCATTTTCATGTAAATTTATATGTTTATATGAGAATATACATTATTATTATTATTAAACCGTTCGCAGAAGTGATATATGATCACAATATTTAAAATTTAAGAAATGCCCACCTTCCCGATTTGTTTCCAACATTAACTCTTTTAACCGGCTCCTAGAAGTTGTGATACCTATTCCTTCAACTGAATCCTTCATGGGGGTTTGGGAAAGCGCAAAAGGTCATTAGAAGAGGATTACCATTGGCTTAAAATCTTCAATTCTCAGGCAGGAAATATGATATCGGAATATCAAAACATAAAAAGAGAGAGGCCTTAAATCTACTTATTATAGGAAAGGAATAGACACATCACACTAGCTAATACTGTCCAATTAGGATTAGATAAAGAGATTCGGAAGATTATTGAAAATCATCAGAAAAATAGTTCATTTCATCAGAGCTGTTTGACTTCAATTTACGCTGATAACCTTATTATTTAGAAGACTCAGATAGACTAGAGCAAGATATAAAGCTTCTGGAAGAATTGGCGATAGCCAGTGGTAATATTTACAAAGTGAAAAGTAGCCGGATGAAAACTGTCAAGGAACTAATCTCTAAGTTCCTGTTGTTACGAAGACGCTCCACACCGATAAAAACCATGTACTTTCTTCGACTTCAACCCAAAATCATCAGTATTGTAAGAAGGAAGTTATCTTGTTTGGCAATTAAAGCGGAGAACAGTAAAGGTCTATAAACAAATATTTTACACAAAATTATGGAGTACTTTTATTCGTTTTTGGTCATCCTCTTCAAACTTGTACGCGCTCGAAGCAGTCGCACCTTCGAGTTGCCCACCAATGACTACCAGTTCCAAAAAAACGCTCAATGTTTATTTCAACTGACATGGCTTATCTCATAAAAGTGTCACACACTATTTGTAGGAAGACATCTAAATTCATCCTTTCGCTTTTTAACATTCTCTTCTGTCTCTCTCTCTTCACAAATCCAACTTACTTTTCTTATCATATGAATATATCGTTAATCTTGAAATTTAATTAGCTGCCTGTTTTTATGTTTTCCCTATTTCTCAGTATTTTGGTCCGAATAACCTACATTAATTACAGCTGTTATTATTATCTCTCTTTTTTTCAACGACACCGGAGGACTAACTAGTGAAATGATCAACACAATCGCACAGCATACTATAAACAAGATAATATAAATCCCAGCACGACTACTTTCGGAGTCAACCAAAGCTACGATGGTCAAGTAACGTGACAAATTACGCAGAAGTTTCTTTGGCGACCTGAATGCTTCACAGCAAAGTTTAACTTCAAGCACCACTAATTATCATCCAGCGAACGAACTTTAAACGACCAACCACATGAAAGAGGGATTTTTGATCAAGGAAAACATACATTTAAGAAGAAAAAGGATGAAAATTGAAAAAAACTGTTACATATGGTTTCCTATTTTAATATGTGATTAAAATATATTCAAGTTTCAATAGAAAGGTTACGTAACATTCTGTAAACATATATTCATCCAAATGGCTGTAAATTACGTCCTTTTGAGATCCAAATATAGCCCTATTCCTAGTTTTTAATCTTTCCGAATTTGTTTCATAGAATTCGTGTGTGCCCCTGAATTGGATCCAAAAAGTCACCAGAATAATTCATTCTGTGACATATATATTCAAGAGATGACAGCGAGTTACAAGCCTCCACTCACCAGTATGTGCTATGTGTACTTGTTTCACCAGTCGATTGACAATAGGTGCGAAGTTAGCAGAGTTTCTGTCTGTTATTCTCTCCACAAACCCTCCTGCGCGTAGATATCATATAAACCGATGACCTAATCATTGTTGCCTCGCTCACGGCAACACACAGTCTAACTAGTCTAACAACGAGGCAATTCTTCCCATTTTCAATAAGGCGATGTCTGCAGTGCTGGTTCCACTAAACTGTTACACGAGGATATTTTCAGTTACAGCAGCGCCCCTTATAGGTTATTTTAGAATCCAGTTGATACAGATCTACAAATCTGGGTCAGGGAAGGATGTCACCTAGCAGAAACCGTTCCCACAAAACATCAGCTTATTTTCCTTAGTACTAACTCCTTCCAAGCTAATTGCACAACAATGGGCATATCCATCAACAGACCGGCTAAAGCTTATTAAATTCATGACACCACCACATGAACAAATCATCTTCTTCTTAAGGAACCGGAAATCCAGGTTTTACCGAAAACTCATCGAACTGCAAGTGTAACATCGTCGTTGGAGCAGGCATTTGATACGAATCAGGCGCTTTACAACCTTTAACACATGGACATGAAGCTCATTTGACCATTCGAGGTCATTCACAGATTATTAGTTGAAGGTGCTTATAGTTTAACTTCGCCATCCTTGCCTCACAATGAAGTAGCAAGTGAAAAGATACCTAATTGGTCTACACTAGCTGGAAAGACCATATGGGATACTTAATTAGATAGTTAAGGTCAAGTGGTGTTTTTGAAAACTGACCTTGACCGCACCTTCGAACTCTTCGAAAATGTTTGGTTTTCCTTATGCTGTAAGTCATTCGCTCCACAGTAACTACTAATGCATTACGCAGCGACTACGCCTCATGATTGATTTTTGTAGCAGAATTTCTTCTTGTTGCTCAAAAATATCTATTTTTGCTATCAGTATTACAAAACATAAGCGAAGAATATTTTTTTCAGTTAGATCTTCTACATGCTTTACTCATGTTTACATAGGTTTATACATAAAAATTTTAATCGTTGACAGCGAGTTTGTGGATAGAATAATGATAATAATAACAATAATGTGGTAAATATTTTGAATGTCAGTAATAACGATGATTATAATTATAGTAGAATAAAGATAATAAGGTTCATTCACGTGGCGATTGGAATGACGAAAGTGGTAGTACGTGTATATGTAGGCAATTCAATAAATAAATTAGGTGAAATCTTAAAAGTTATGTAATATTAAAGGTGAAGTGGACAGATAATCAGAGTTTCAATAAATATCATTAAAACACGAAGGAAATGGAAGATAAGAAGGGTTGGAATTATTTTGTTAATTTGAATTTGCTTTGGCCAAGGCAGAGATGAGGGTAGAACAGACTTTTTTTGTTGTATGCAAAGACTAGCATTATAAATTATTTAAACTAATCCCAGTGTGTTAAGAAAATCAGAACAAGATTTTTCTGAACGTTTCGTCGTGTAAGCCACAGCTTCTTCAGCAGACTAGCATTGTTCCCTCGAATTAATTCCCATAGCTTTGGCTATGTCTAAAAGGTGTGTTCGAGTTCGATTCGAAAGGTTCGATGGTATGCAATGGGTAACTTTTATGGTACATTATCTGTCAACTTGCTGACGGTTGTCGTCAATCGAATCAGTCAAAATAGAACTTCTAATAGATTTTATTTAACTTTTTCCGAACCGTGAAGGAAGATGCTTATTAATACCTTTGTTAAGCTATCTACTTTTTCGCCCTATATAGCTTTCTCCGTAGGAGCAGTTAACTTTTTAGATAAACTCTGATTATCTGTCCACTTCACCTTTAATATTACATAACTTTTAAGATTTCACCTAATTTATTTATTGAATTGCCTACATATACACGTACTACCACTTTCGTCATTCCAATCGCCACGTGAATGAACCTTATTATCTTTATTCTACTATAATTATAATCATCGTTATTACTGACATTCAAAATATTTACCACATTATTGTTATTATTATCATTATTCTATCCACAAACTCGCTGTCAACGATTAAAATTTTTATGTATAAACCTATGTAAATTGTCTTGTTCTTATATTAGTAGTACAATCACTCATCGTGATGTGGTGTATATCTAGTGGCTTGCCCGCTGTGGTTTCATTGGTCTTACTACTGATGCAAAATACACCTGTCCTGTTTTATCTGTTTCTAAATGTTTTTTAACACCTAACCAGTGCTGTATTCGGTTACCACTAATAAGGCATTAATTCATGATTTTATTCATGTGTATTTTAAAATCGTCGAACCATACTATAAAATGATGTGGTTCTTAAGAATATGCTATTTTGTATCAATAATAAAATACGTGGAAGAAGTCCATCAATAAAACGGAACGTTTGTGATAACTTATTTCGTCTATATTTTACTGACGATACACTCACTTTTGTGACTACGACAATTTATTTATAGAGATCAGTCCGTACACATTTACTGTGAAATAATTTATTTTCTCAGTAGCGTAATTGTGTTAAACCAGACTCGCCAGTAAAAATACTACACAACAGTGTATAGTCTTCCAGGATTCGAAAAGTTTGAAAGTATAATTCAAATTTAAAACTTCCAGGTAGTTCCTCGAGAAGTGTGCATGTTTTATTCAAAACATGGTTTACTATTCGTTGTGTATAAAAAAACTCAAAGACAAAGATTGTATCACTAGTGAATATTTGGTAATAATAATTAATATACTGTAAACCAATCTTCTATGCGATGCTCTTGGTTCAAAAATAGTTTCCCTATACGTATTGGTAAATTCTTGCAATCTTACCTTTGGCTGGCTGTGGATTTTGTTCATTAAATATATAATATAAGAATATAATTTGGGATCTGTAGAAGAACATTATCCCATCATATAACCATAAGCTGTTAAAAACAGTAGTTCAGTGGTTTTTTTTTGATGTCTTGAGCATGATTCGATGCCCATAATCATGTCAAGGCATCCACATAACCTTCAAACTTTGCTGATGTAATTCCGTTATCTATCCCTTGATTTTATTGGCAGTAATATTTTCCACACCTCTGGTATTATCGTTGCATCATTCCAATTGCAAGTGTTAGGCGTAGATTCGATGATCAACATCTTCCTTCACCTGTCTACACTATTTTCAAAACCGTAGCTCTGTTCCACAGCATTGTGTGATTGTGCATACGTTCAGTTTTTGCAACTGTTGAGTTTTCTCTCATTTATCTTTCCGGGGGTAATCACTCTACACTCAGCTGGGTTCCTAAGTTAGATAAAGTAATGGACGCTGACTTACTGATCTGACCTGTGTAGTTGACCTCACAGTTATAGCAGATTAATTTTAAGCTAATTAGGTCATTGGGATCCTTTAGACTATAGAGCTTGTCCTTGAGTCAGTTTGGTGGTCTAAATGGCAACCTTATTTTTGCTTTATTTAGAATCCTACAGTGTTTCTGCCGAAAAGAGTGCGAGTTACGTCGTAACCTAGAACTTAAAATCGCCACTGTTACAGTCTTTAAATTAAAATTCTACAAGGACTTTTCCTAAACGTGATTAGTCATGTTTAACTTATTCGCCAAGCAGATATATGCTGCGAAAAAGTGCTTGAGATTTTAGGACAGAGTCGGGAATTCACACACGAACAGACAAAATATTTCTGATAATCCGTACGCTGCGTAATAATTGGATTGGCTCCGTTTTTTATTCACTTTTCAAAAAACATGGAGACTGCATATTGCCATGATAAAATAAGTACTGGTTTTAATGCTGACGTATTTGTTTCCTTCCCATAGAATTAATTATCCGTGAGTGTACCATCAAGTTTTCAAAAACCGTGATAAATATATCTGTTATAACCGGTATGTTTATTCTATGCAATTGTTAACTAGTTGAATCCCCTACTGATCTGAAAGGGTATTGTTAACTTTTATTGGTTAAGATGAGATCAGCCCCATACAGAACCGTAATTCACAAAAAATACTGCTAACTCTACCATATTATTCGTGCATAATATTTTACTTTAAAAAAGAGTTTGATAGCTTCATAACTTATTTAATTTCTCAAAGACATGTCATTATGTTTGCTTAACCTTGACCTTTTACGCTCATATTGCACGAATGCTGCGTAAAGTGCATGAATATAATAGTATGTGAACTTTGTAGTTCAATGGTAATACGGTATGTAAGAAATCAACACAAAAGTGCTTTAAAGTCCTAAAATGAATTAGAATATTTAAAAGTATAATACAAATTCTTTTAGACGTACAACTCATAGTATACTTTGTATAGAAATAAAGCCAACTAAGGCTAACAGTAGTCCAAACTGTGAATAAGGAATTCGCTTCTATGATAAATTCATAACTCATGTGCTTTTTTGGTTGATTCCATTTTTCTGATAACTTAACCGTTTGTGATCGAGGGTACAGGCAATTCAATTACCTATTAAAACTGTTTAACATCAGCTTTAAATTGTTTGCCAACCATTCCATGAAATCAATTAACCTAAAATTATTTTAATACAAGCACATGAATAGGTGAGTCACTCAGTTTGCGCTTCGAATCGCTGTTCTCAGCAATGTCTACTAAACAAGTCACATTGACACATTGCTACTAGTGATTTTCCTAGCATTTTTCACACTCAACAAATCTCTTCATTTTATCAGTGGATTGGGATCATTAACTTCATGAAGTTGCTCATGTATTCAGCTTAAAAACTACTCTACTGTCTGTCTTCCAATAACCAGGATCTTGCGAAATTAACTGTTTACTAAACAGATGTTATATCAGACACCAATCGGCTATGTTCTACTAAATGTCACACAGTAAAACGATATTAGTATTATGAGGAATGATTTTGAGAGCAGCCAAGATTTTCCTATACTCTTTAGTGGGTTAATAGCTAGCCTGTAATGTAGTTCTGTTCAGTATGTATTTGTAGTGGTAATCAATTCGTTTTCGTCTATATTTTTAACATCTGAAACATAAATTAAGTCTTGCATACTCACGCTTGTATACCAGTAATTATACACATACTAAAGCCATCAGAAGCTTTTCGAAACATGATTAATTGGATTGATGGTGAGAGGAATCTGAAGAATGACTCCCATTACCATATTAGTAAGACAAAAGATTGCCTAAGTGATTGTTTATTTTTAACCTTGATGTCATAGCACCACTTGGTAAACGAGAATACTTAGTTGATAGTGAAGTTCATTTTTGTTTAATGAATGTTATCATCTGTATGGACATAAATAGAATGCATGGGAAAAAGTGACTATATTACTACCATTATTATTGTCCTTGTAAATTCCGCGAATTTATAGGTTTACAATGTTTTATGGAAGATAACAAATCGCCTGGACTTTTGACAAACACGCTACTTTAATTTTAACATCAAAATTAGGCAGGGCTTCAGTTGATTCGTTTAGTTAGAATTCCGTCTTGTTAAACTGCTCCTAACTATTATTCGTATTAAAAAATGGTGTCCTACTCAACATTCACATGCTTATTTATTCACTTAGTAATAGAGACATGTGAGAACTTATTACTTTCCAACTACACACACCGTGAAAGTTGATTTCTTCCTCAAATACCTGAACTATAAAGAGCATTAGAGTTACATGACTGCAGAGACCAGTAAACAATTGTTTAAGGCTAGTCGCATACGGCCCATTTAGAGCCTTGGTAATGAACCACACTCACTTGTGATGGCTGGTGTTATATCCGGCTGTGCAAACCTGAAAAGGTGAAGCTGAATTTGTATCTATGCCTCACCAGTTGAAACTTGATTTCTTAATCTGGTGAGCTACAGTGGTACATTTATACCGGTGTCATAAAAATCAAACTCCCTTTTGAGGCTTTTGTTCCCCAATGAATATTGTCTTTGAAATTCCCAGCTTTTTCAAGCCATTGATTCCGAATTCAGTTTGAAAAGTCATTTATTTCAATAAGCCTGCCTAACACAGTTTACAAAATCCTATAACCGGTGATTTTGTAACGTAATTACATGATTTTGTTTTGCTTGCTCAAGTTATGTCTTACAGGCCTTAAAACGATGACTTGTTGGTAACTCGGACTGGATGTTTTGATGAACTAAAGAAACTTTATCTATTTTAGGGTTTATGTTGAATATAAGAAACTAAATTAGACGAAACGGTTATATTCATCGAAAGGTTTATAATTTGTGTGTAAATTCCAAGTGCGTTTGTTAGTTTAAATTGTATTCGTCAGTAGTTTCCATACTTATTATTCTTCATTTAGCCACACCACATATACACTTCAAAATGCATGTTTGTCAGCTTGTTTATGCAGTGGATTTCAAGTATAAAAATATATTGAGTTCAAATCATAGAAAATCATACACTGTTAGTCAATTTATTAGTTATTCATCATCTTACTCACCTCTCGTCCCTATTACGTAACTGCTTCACCACTGTATGTATACGTATGCGTACGAACTATTTGTGTGAAAACTATTTAGGTGTAATTTTCTGAGCACTGTTCACTAAGTTTGGAATCTCCTATCAACTGACATCATATAAAATTTGCAAGTATGTTAAAATTGTTCTGTAAATAAACTTAATAATTTCCTTCTACTGTAAGCAGCTGATGAGAAGCCAACGAAATAAATGATGGTGCTATATTATTCTGCACAAACTGTTGTTCTAGCCCTATTCAAATTCATAAAGGAGAATAAATGTATTAACGCTTATAGTACTGACTTCTATAATTTTGTGATGAGTTGAATTGCTTTCAGTTTCTTTCAGTTCAACAAGATTCATTTCTTTTAACTGTTACAGGGCCCTTTCTTTTTATATTATTATTACATTTTGTTTCCTTTAATAGTGTTTGAACACATTCATTCCGACAATGGGTCGAAAATATGCGTATGAAACACCTCGTAAGGCTATGCGTGGCCAATGTGATGGATCCACCGTTATGGTACAACGTATGCATAAATCAACTTCTCTGGAAAGCAGTAGAGAATGGTTTAGAAAAGAAATTCAATATCAAATGGAACGAGGTGGTTTATTTGAAGATCCTTTTATGCCTGCAAACGACACAAGCATCAATTCAAATTCAAGATCTGGTTTTAGGTGGCTAAGACCTCATGTAAGTCGCATACTTGTGAAGTTATTTAATCTTTAATGTTGAGAAAGCATTGTTGCTCCTAATCCCTGGCTTACTTCATAGACAATATTTAAAAATGAACGGAGGTGGGGTTACTAGCCGCACACCCGACCTTCCGTCTTTATGGGCTTTCCTACCAGCAAGTAAACTAGGCGAAGTCAAGGAGTACTTTAGCTGGTAATCAAACCATGACCACATGCGTGCTCGGCCAGCAGTCTACCTCTAAATCACCGACGTAGATTCAATTGTGCGGAAGAATTATTAAATGTAGATTGGTGAAGGTATGTTGAAGGGCAAATTCACTTACTGTAAAGCAAAATATTTTAAAACATGCCATTAGGAGTTCGCACTTATTGATTCTTAACATCTCAACGGGACTAGCATAGAAGCATGCACCTTCTTACCTACCTCATACTAACACTCGATGTGTTAATCATCGTGGTTCTCCGTAGACAGCACGAATAAACTCTGGTGACTTGCTGATTTGGCCTATGTCAGCGTTAAACTCGTCTAACAGTATGAAAATATCTGAACATATGGCTTTTTCGTCACATACTTGTCAGTTTCCCATAAAATCCATCTTTGGATGCTAAGCTACTGAATTCTTTGACAATCGATGTTAGCTGAAGTACGATCATGTTAGTAGATGCTTAGAGGTGGCCAAACAATAACATGGCGCCAATCAGTGAATCCATTAACTATTTGTCTGAAACATGTAAATGAGTGCAGACTGTTTGGCTGGATATTTCGAGCGGCTATAAATCCAAATCTGGGTAATTTCTGTGATGTGTCCCAGATGCATTCATGTCTCGTTATCTTCTATAATTTACAGGGATTCACTAATCCTCATTTTATTTCCGCCCTCTCACATCTTCGTCCATTGTAGTTTCATTGCATTCGCTCCCTCTACTTTTGTGTATCCTTCTCCAAAGTGTGGCTAGGGAGGGCTATTTTTCAATTCGCTATAGAGTGTGGACGCTAAAAACATCAAGGAAAAGTTGGAAGTATGGTTTCAGGGGACTCCGAATGATGTTCCACTCTCTGAAGTCATTAGCAATAATTACACAGATAATGTAACGTAAAGAAATCATTCAAACAAAAGCACTGTTACTGGGGTTCGGCTGTAAAGTTTGAGGAAGGGAAAAGGTGGGTTTTGTGTTCTTATGGTTCGTGCACTGGAATCGTACTTTTTGGCTACCTACTGTGGAAGTTGAATCCTTCTTGAAATACTTAAAAAAGAAGGCAGGTTGCGCTACCCCCGAATGTAGGAACTGACTGATTGAGGTTAAACATTCTGCCTGTTAGACGTAATAGGATTTCTGGACTTTCGTCTGTGGTAAACCTTAACTATCTGCATAGGGTATTTTAGGAAGCAAGAGTGTGAAGGTCGATCTTTTAAATCTATTCCTGAAAATAAGAGGCAATCATATTTACTCTGGTGATCTTTCCAAGAAAGCAGCCCACTGCTGCCATACCCAATCCATCCGGTAACATAACTCCGCTCTCATACCCTCACCATGGTATGAACAAAATCCTTTGTGGCGTAAACTACCATTAGTCTTAACGCCATAGAGTCTACTTTCTTTGACATTATTGGATTTCCGGAAATAATCGTCTCATCCAACCTAGCTCAGCAAGTCAATGTAATAGGCACGTTGAGGTAACTGTTGTAGACTGGACTTTACGATTCTGCACAAGAAACATGTGTCCCGACATAGGCTGATAACTTCAGTTTTATAAATTAGTAACACGAAAAAGATATTGAAAAAGCTGATTAGCTGTTGTAACAATGTGGCCTGGAGAATAATACGGTGACATTTGGACCTGTCAGTGGTAAGTTTGAGTCTCAGTAGGGGATATTGGAATGCAAGAGGAATCCACTTGGTAAATTTAAAGTTAGGCAAAACGCACTTAATAGTTTCAGTTGTTGTCGAATAAGATATGTAATGCTTGATTTCCGTTTATTTATTATGTTTGTAAATTGTATTAAAACTGGTAATTCACTGTAAAAACTAAATATTCACCTTTTAGGAACTTACTCGGAAACCACGTTTCGTTGCTGATGGAGTCAGTCGATTCGATATTAAACAGGGCGAACTTGGTAAGTATTGCATATATATATATATATATATATATATATATATATATATATATATATTATAAAATCTGTAATACTTTCTCCAATGTTTGCGGTGTATGTATGTATGAAACAGAACTTCCTATCACTGTTTTCTCAGTCCCAAATCAGCCCCCACAACAAATAAACCTGAGAAATTGAATGGTACTGTAACACCTCACAAGTCAATTGTGGCTTAGAGTCTAAAATGCTAACATGAATCGTATTATTAATCATGCAATATAGCCAGATACTAGCTTGCTAGGCTACTAGCTTACTAGTTTTCTCGCCGGTCCCAAGCCCGGGTAAAAAGGGAGGGTTGGGGCGTGGTGCTAGCAACTCCACCCCTGTAAAACAACCAAATCGCTACAGAAACTTCAACGAATAAATATATTAAAAATTCTAAAAACATAAGCAATAGCCTTACTTTTCGCTGGAATCGGGGAAGTGAAATGACGCAGGCTGGTGAAAGCCTTCGGGAAGCCAGTCAGCCGATGTGCCTTCTTTCGATGAAAGCAAAAGTAAGGATGGGTACCTGGAATGTTCGCACAATGTACGAAACTGGAAAGGCTGCCCAGATAGCCGCTGAAATGAGAAGGTACAGAATAGAAGTGTTGGGAATCTGCGAGAGCAGATGGAACGGAACTGGAAGGTGCCAACTACCTACTGGAGAGACAGTAATCTATTCCGGCCACCTAGAGGACAACCACGAGCACACCGAGGGAGTGGCCATCATGATGTCACCAACAGCAACCAAAGCTCTCATGCAGTGGGAACCAATCTCCTCCAGGATAATGACAGCCAGGTTCAACTCAAAAGGAAGGAAAGTTACAGTCATTCAATGTTATGCGCCTACAAACGTCTCAGAACAAGAGAAGAAGGAGGCGTTCTACAGACAACTACAAGCAATAATGGACAACGTCCCAAATGGCGATATCAAAATCCTGATGGGCGACATGAATGCGAAGCTGGGACGAGACAACACAGGAAGAGAACTCACCATGGGTCGTGAGGCCCTCGGTGAAATGAACGACAATGGTGAACTCTTCTCAGACTTCTGCGCCTTCAATGATTTGGTGATTGGCGGTAGTGTGTTCAAACACAAGGATATACACAAGACGACATGGATTTCACCAGATGGAAACACCAAGAACCAAATAGACTTCATCTCAATTTCAAGAAAGTGGAGACGGAGCCTACTGGACACAAGGTCAAGGAGAGGAGCAGATGTGGGTTCAGACCACTATCTAGTAGAAGGGACTTTCAAGGTGAAACTAAAAGCCTCGAGGATAGCTGGGGATAGGCCACAATGCAAGTTCAACACTCAATTACTGAAGGACACAACCACAAAAGACACCTTCACTGCAACTGTCAGAGCAAAGCAGGAAACACTACGCGACATCACTGAAGAATCATGCGTGGAAGAACATTGGAAGTCTCTGAAGGCGATTCTCAACGAAACGTGTTCAACGGTTCTAGGAAGAAAGAAGAGACAAGACAAGGAATGGCTCTCAACGGACACTTGGAAATTAATAGAAGAGAGGAGAATGGTGAAAGAGAAAATGATTCAATGCAAGGACGGACAGGAGAAGGAGACGATGAGCTCAACTTACAAAGCATTGGACAAAGAAGTGAAGAAAAGTGCTAGGAAGGACAAAAGACGATTCTACGACAATCTAGCTACTGAAGCTGAAAAGGCAGCAGGCAAAAGGGACCTGAGGACACTATATCAGATAACCAAATCTCTATCCGGGAAGAGACCAACACAAGCGAAACCTATAAAAGACAGCCAAGGGAACCCAATTACCAAGGAAGAAAAACAGATTAAACAATGGGCGGATCACTTCAAAGGACTCTTGAACCGACCATCACCTGCAACCCGTCCAGAAATACCAACAACAGCGCGCACACAACTGCAAGTTGACACCAATCCTCCAACGAGAGCTGAAGTCTTGAACGCAATCAAACTTCTGAAAGCTGGAAAAACAGCCGGACCAGATGGAATACCCCCTGAAGCACTGAAAGCAGACCCAGAGACTACAGCAGACATGCTGACTCCATTATTGCAAAAGGTCTGGAAGGAGGGAAAGGTGCCTACTGACTGGAGGAAAGGTTACCTCGTGAAACTACCAAAGAAGGGCGACTTAGGACTCTGCAAGAACTGGCGAGGAATCATGCTCCTATCGACGCCAAGTAAAATCCTGAGTCGCATCATCCTGGAGAGATTAAAGGACGCACTGGAGACAGAACTCCGACCAGAACAAGCTGGATTCAGGAAAGGCAAATCATGTACTGACCAAATTGCAACTCTACGCATCATCATCACAGAACAAAGCATGGAATGGCAATCAAACCTCTACCTCAACTTTATAGACTTTGAGAAGGCCTTCGACAGCGTTGATCGTGAAGTAATTTGGAAATTACTCGAGTACTATGGCGTACCCCAAATATTCATCAACCTTATTCAACAGCTGTACGACAACGGCACATGCCAAGTGATCCACAACGGAAGACTCAGCGAGGCGTTTGGAGTAAACACAGGAGTCAGACAAGGGTGCTTACTATCACCAATGATATTCCTAATTGTGGTGGACTGGATTATGCGTCAGACTGTGGGAAACGAGAAGACAGGAATATCCTGGACCGACGTGAAGAACCTAGAAGACCTGGATTTCGCGGATGACTTATGTTTGATGTCACACACAATCGAAGACTTACAAGCGAAAACCGACAAACTGGTCGAAGAAGCAGCCGGTGAAGACAGGACTCCAGGTGAACATAGACAAGACGGAGGTTATGAAAATAACCAACCAACAACAACACACATCAGCAACATCCAACGTCAATCACCATCAACGGGAGGGATTTGAAAGAGGTTACTTCATTCACTTATCTAGGGAGCATTGTCTCAACTACAGGCGGAACGGACGAGGATGTCAAATCGAGCGAGAATCGGGAAGGCGAGAAACACATTCATCAGCCTGAAATCAATCTGGAAATCTTCGTCACTCAGCATCAACAACAAAATTCGGATTTTCAATACAAACGTAAAGTCAGTTCTTCTATACGGATCAGAAACTTGGCGGGGGGTCACAAAGAATATTTCCAAAAGGTTGCAGACCTTTATTAACAACTGTCTTCGCTCAATACTGAAGATCAGATGGCCGGAAAGAATCACCAACAAGGAATTATGGGAACAAACAAAGCAAGAACCAATCGCCCAACAAATATGCAGGAGAAAGTGGAGATGGATCGGACACTCGCTGAGGAGACCGCTGGGTGACATCGCGCGCCAAGCCCTCGAGTGGAACCCGAAAGGGAAGCGGCGTGTGGGACGTCCAAGGGTGACATGGAGGAGATCGTGTGAAGAGGAGTTGAAAGAATATGGATTAACATGGATGCAGGCGAAAAGTATTGCAGAAGACAGAAGAAAATGGAGACGTGCAGTTGAAGCCCTATGTTCCACTAGGAACCCAAGGGAGCAATAATAATAATATAGGATAAAGGTAACACATCAAGTATACATCTCTATCTGAAAACAACATTGATTAGGTAGAGTGGTCTATATTTCTCACAAAATTGCGGATGTGTATTGCTGCTGAATTTTTAAGTGGGACTGAATAACTATCTAATGCTTATAAGTTTTCAGCAGTTCACTTAGCCGATGACCCTTCTTCTTGGCGGGAAGTTCATAACTTCCAAGATATATTTTTTGTACAAGAGTTTGGCACGATAGGTACTTGGCTCAAGATTCATTGGAAACACTTTCAGTCACTGGGATACAATCACATATAGATGATGAGTCCCGATGGGGGACGAAATGCATGTCCTGAATTCTACTTGTATATTCACCAGTCATGTAAAGCCACTAGTTTTTCCTTTTTAGAATTAAGAGATTTTATAATGTGAAATAAAACAGACAATAACAATCAGTTGTCGGTTTATTGAAGCTATTCGTAATAATGAATGAAATTCTCTTAAACTGTTTTTTCTGATTGGCTTACTAATTCAGTTTAAACATAGAAATTTGCCCAGAATTGCAGAAGTTCACGTTAACACACTTCATTTAGCTCACAAATGTAGACAAAAGAGAAGAAAGAGATTTAAAAGAAATATAATAAATGGAAAGAATAGTAACACGCGAAAACATAACGATTTAGTGGAAATGAGAGATCTTTTTTTCCTTCACGTTCCCAGTGGAACATAGGGCTTCAAGCTAGTGGCTTGAAGTTTCTGTATCATTGTTTATTTTACAGAATGTGGTTGCTAGCCTCATGCCCAACCTTTCCTACTTACCAGCATTATATCTGGCTTAGCGAGGTAAAGGAGTGCGTCGGCCGGGGATCGAACCCTGGACCATGTGCATGGTCGGCGAGCGTCCTAACCGCTCTGCCACCGACGAGAGATCACAGAGAGTGAATGCACCTGCACCGTTGAGAACGAGTTTGAGATACATCATTAATCGTCTCTAGTCATTAGTTCTAAGCATCGTGTGGATTCCAAACTGTAAAGACTTAATGGACTCATGCCAGGTTTTAAATTGATCACCTCTAACTCTTTTCCAACTTAATCTTATGCCAGCTGAGGTTATCCACCGAGGAAGGGGATGATTTGGCATGCGTAAAACGTGTCCTAGTCACCTCGATCAATTCACCTTCACTAAATCTAACTCCTAGATATTACCTAGTATCTTAGTTAACCGAGACGACAGTTCGTCTTCACCGTCCTTAAACACCTTTTGAGTCATTCCATCGGGTCCCATTGGTTTCGAAATAGAAACAGCCTGTAATTCCATATTAGTTTTTTTATCAGATATATCACACAGTGAAACAGTATTATTTACTGGATGACGTTTCGAACAAAATTTATTGTTCATAATCATATCAATTGTAATCACACGACTTCGAAACTTGAGTTTTATAGTTTTCTTTGTCTTCTATTTGTCGGAGGGGTAGTAGAATTTTCTATCTGGAAAATTCTAGAAAAAAAAATTCTGGAAAATTCTACTACTCCTCTGACAAGTAGGAGAAGACAAAGAAAACTATAAAACTCAAGTTTCGAAGTCGTGTGATTACAACTGATATGATTATGAACAATAAATTTTGTTCGAAACGTCATCCAGTAAATAATACTGTTTCACCATGTGATATATCTAATAAACAAACTAATATGGAATTACTTACTACCACAGTGCCCAAGCTTTACACATATATTAATAGAAACAGCCTGTGTAATCTCAGTTAAAGATGGAGGACCAATGTCTACACTTTATTCAGGCAAAAACTGTTTTGTTTGTTCTAAGTGTAACTACTGCCTATAAATCAATCCAGTCATCATTGTCATTTGCAATTTTGTATGATTCGCGATATACGTCTACAACTGTGTGAGAAATGGAGAGCAAGATGTATTTCGAAGCGAATACGTCAACCTTAATTGTTTGAAGTGGAAAAAATGTCTCAAAATTTTCGACTCCTGTTTATTTATATTACAGTAACACATTTATTCAGTACAGTGGATGAGAAGTTATCCTCACTATCTAATTGTGCTATCTTAGTGATCATGATCGCTTCATATAAACATCCGAAAACTCACAACAAAGCCTTTCCTCAGAGTGGATCGTGGGCTAACGGCTACTAAATAGCCGCCAACAGTAAAATCAAACAACTAACATACAATTATGAGAGTACTACAAATAAACTCATATTAGAGAGACAGAGGATTAGTTTATAGAATATCCATAGCCCATTTTTGAATTTGTTTTCTGTTCAAGTTATTGGTTATTTTAATCATTTTAAGGTATATGAAGCACTTAACACTATTCCAAGATAGCAACAGCTTTCAGTGTTCAAAGAATTTGGATTTAGAATCAAAGTCAAACTACAAACTGATCTATCCCCGTATAAGTGCACTTATTCACTACATTAAATTACTCATGCACATGATCCGGGTTTCCATCCCCTGCCGACGGACACCTCATATCAATGGTCGGCCTGAAAAATTTGGGCTACCGATATCACATGCTGAAAATTCCATAATTGTATTAAAAATACGGTGTGGAATCAAGCTATAATCAAAAATCAAAATCATCTGAGTACTCCGTGATGTATGCTATAAGTGCATTTTTATACCCAAGCCACACTTTATTTGCGTATGTATATTCCTAGTTCTATAAATATATGCTTTCTGTGCAAAATCACCGGAAGGCAAATGTTCTATGGATCTTTGATTCAGTGACTAATATTCTTATTTCTAAGGTATACACCTACTAGCCAGTAATATCTTGGAATCCACAGAAAACATATTAATTTATATTTTTATATGAAATACTTTTTTATGACAGTGATCATCACTTTCACTCTCATCATCCAGATTTATGGCTGTCCTCTCTTGATCGCCGACCACTGGGTTACAGGTCGAGACTCCTGCTTCACTAATTAGGATTCAGTCAACCTGGTAGTATCATTAATCATTACAAAACAGACGTCACTCATTTCCAACGGCATGAAAATGCAGGTTATCGTTGAATAACACTTCCTTTTAATTTACGTACTTTGTAACTGTATCCTCGCAAGAGTATCCACTTCAGAAGCTGTTCACTTTTTGGAGTTATTTTCTTCTATAGGTAATTGTTGGGTTATTGCTGCGTTGGCTTCATTATCAATGTATCCAGAGCTATTTAATCAGGTAAGTGGAAAATTCGTTATTTTTCTTTCTTTCTTTACCTAATTTTACTTTTAATTGTCTGGAAGTGGTTGGAGTACAGAGTAATACTTTTAAGATGATTTTTCTCCTGACTTCATTCTCTTCACAAAACTGAGGTATCATTTGGATGAAATGTTCACTTGTATACCTGCATCTAAATTATATTACTTTTCAAACGCTTATGATATTCTTTTGTTAATCATATAGGGCTAAAGTTTCGGACATTATATTAAGTGTCGTTCCATACGCACCAGGTTTACCTTCCGCGAAGTAATTGCAAAGTATTGTTGTAAGATCAGCAGGAGTCTTTAATTACACTCACCCTTGTAGATGAACTATCTCAAGTTGTGCAATTCCTGGTGGAGGAATCACGGACGAACTCCCGAATCGCATAGTGAAAGCTAGAGCTACATACGACAGTTTGGGCCACCTACGCACCATCTCGACGTCAGTCTGGCTGTCAAAAGACAGATTTACAATACTTCAGTATGCTAAGTCTTGTCCTATGCCTACGAAACTATGCTTGTTTAAGCTGAGGATGTGCGGTGACTCTGCGCATTTGATCATCGCTGCCTCCATGGGGTCGTTTGCAACCAATGGCTTCATCATGTGAGTAATTCTGAGGTCCGGAGGTGTGTGCTTGGACACAGGGGATGTCACCATCCCTTGAGTTTGATCATCTTGAAACACCGGCTAGCATGGCTTGCATATATGCTACAAATGTCATCCGAGAGGCTCTCATACCTCTCATTATTCGTATCCCTGCGAATAGATGGAAAAAGAGGAGAGGTAGTCAGTCTAAGATGTGGTGCCATGGGTTGAAAGATATTTGTCTTAGGTTAGCAGTGGCTGGTACATGACGACTGTTTGAGATTCAAGAGACAGTTTGAATCGGTGGCCCATGTATGCCTGAGAGTCTAAGTCATTGACGAACCTGCTGCAACCTCCTTCTCTCTTCCCTTACCGAAAGTAACATGAAGCGATGAATGTCACATGATCTTGACAAGTGTATTCGCTTACTCTCTGGATGACATCCTTCATTTATTCTTTCTGTAATTCTCCATAATATATTATCTTTTTTTACTTTTGTGTGGCACATTTCTTGGTGCCCATGTTGCACCAAGTTTGTGTTTCTAGAAAATAAAGAAGTTGTTAACGTGTTAGTTCAGCTGTCAGCAGTGTAGATGTTAACTGGATTGGTGTAGGTAATTGTCTTCCGACTAATGTGTGTTGCAGTCTCAAATTCCGTCTCAACTCACCAAGATTTCAGCTGCTAGATGGTGCTATTATCTCTCTCTCTCCAGCACACACACCCACACTAGTCATCACTCATTATTCAGTTCACAGAGTTGTACATGATTATTCGGTTCCCTTTTTATTTTTGTGCTCCTTGACAGGAAAAGTGCACTAGGTTAAATGATATTTTAATGCTTTGGTAATAAAAAAAAACTCAAACTATGGAAGGAATTATATCTTCCCTTAATTTGATTGTAATACAACTACAAAGTGCAAAGATGCGTGAACAGAAATAAAAAGGATATCGATATTTGTATGAATTCATTCAATGATTGGAAGATGAAGTACATTCAATAAAATAATGCAATTTTGTGATTACATACGGAGGATTTTTATTGGTTTTATTTATATGAAGATGCCGAATATATTGTTTTCATCTTTGCAGTTTTCACATTTCTTTGTGTTGATAGAATTTTGTCAGATGGATGATTTATTTTTCGTATCAAATAATTGGTGTGGTTCATTATTTCCATTCATAGTCATTTAATTTATTATGATTAAGTCATATTTATTTTCTTTGAGAGTTGATGATTCAGTTTAACTGGCAAGATTTTGACGTTTCTCTTAGTTCCTTTGCTTTCTGAGTGAAACAAGCTTTTAAAGTTTCAGTACTGATGAATTTGCTTCACGAGATGGGGTCGCTAGCCTCACCTCCAACTCTTCCCTCTTTACCATACTTATTATTGGCTAAGCAACGTCTAGGAGTCGAGCCTGGATTACTTGAGAGGCTGGTGAGCATGCTGTCATTGAACTACTGACATACTTGATAGCTGGAGCTAATTTCAGCTCAGGTTTTGTATCTTGACAGTTTAACCAAAACAGGAAGAAAGGAATTTTATCCAACAATCATGCAGTTGACAATCAGCTACACCTGTTGTTTTTAACTGCTATTGATTTTGCCTGGTTCCCTTAATAGGTGAAGAGAAATGTGCACTCGTGACCCATTGGTTGGGAGCCGATTACCCAGACCAATAGTTCACTACTGTATTTAACCAAGTTAACCTCTTACCAAGTAGTGAATCACACATTCATTATCACAAAGCAAGTGAAATTCATTAACATCTATTTATCACCTTGTTCCTAGGGTTTTATTTCAATTAATTAAATGAAAAAAGTTAGGTTATTGTCTTAGGACTGGTGGCAGTAAAATATCTAATTAGAAAACGTTCAATAGGAAGCTCTTGACATATGTTCGGCACCTTTTAGCATTCAACAGCAAAGCGCATCTGGAGCTTCGAATTAGCTCATCGTACCTTCAAGATCCTATTATTATTATTATTATTATTAAAAACACAGACTTGGTACATTATGGACAGCAAAAGATGCACCACACAAAAATAAGGAGACAACGATATCCATATGGAAAGTGGGGATATAATAGATAAGGGAGGTCATACAGGAGGTAATTAATCATACTTGTCAAAATCTATGGTCATACATTGCCTCATGTTACTTTCAGGAAGGGAAGATTGAAGGAAATTTCAGCATGTTGCCCGCTGATTGCAATTCTTAGCCATATCTGGTAACATATTGAGCCACCGATTTGAACTATCCCTCGGACCTCACACAGAGAGTCGTGATGTGCCGACTGTTTATTTAATATGGAACATAAAGCTTCACACTTAAGCCTTTTCAAGTTTTAGTAGCGGTGGTCTTTTTATAGGATGGGGTCGGTAGCCTCATGCCCGACCTTCCCTTTTTATCGGGATTAAAACTGGCTAAGCGGGATTTATGAAATGCGTTGGTTGGAAATTGAACCCGTACCACCTGCGTGGCTGGCGTTAAGATGGCAAATTTGGATGAATGAAGAGCAATCGAGTTAAGCATTTATAATAAACTCCATTAACAATTTAAGGAAGATATCTGATCTGCATAATGCTTAAACTACTTCTTGAACCTAACATTAACTCCACTATGATCCATCCTAACTCTAATGCTTGACTCGTAACGATACTTAGTTGAATGAACACCGACGTATCTGCGAAAAACTTGGAGTCATTCTTACAACAAAGAAAGGTATTCTGTTTTATGTTCTTACACTACTTCAGACATTTTACTCATGAATATACTATTTTTCACTGATTTATTATGGTTGGTTGGCTCAAGGTCGTTGGCACCCTCGTTTAACCAATAATACCGGTTGAATTTGGAAATAAAAATTATTCAGATTATAATATGCAATCTGCTTAATACAACAAGTGGTAATCAAGAAGGCAGGCATAAATGCGTAAAACCTATATACTACTGATTGATTAAGATGCCTAGTTGCATACCACCACCGATCTTGCCAGCAAGCACTACTGGTTGACGTGAGTGGTGGTATACAGCAATAACAACAACACCAACAACAACTCAGTTGGTTTGTTCTAATCAAAAAGAAACAACTATTCAAAATTGATTTCGCTAAACCAGCTTAGCATTTTGAATAAAGTCGCTAATTCTACGTGTATGTGAGAGATGAAATTCTATAAAGCTAAACATGTGACTCTCCCCTCTGAAAATTTTTTTTAATGTGTAACAATAGCAACGGCAATAATAAATAATGCATAAATTAAAATTTCATCGTTTGATGTCAACCGAGAAAGAAAGAAAACATGTTTCGTAGTAAAAACAAAATAAAGAAGCAAAAGCTGAACAAAATTTTTGTTTAAAAAAAAATCTGATTAGCTAATCGGTTACCTTGTATAAGCATGAATGTGTATAAAAGACAATTTTACAACAATTCTTATTTATCACACGTCATTGTTATTTGTTGTCTGTAGACGTTATGATTATGTTTTCTGTTAGATCACGTTAACTAGTTACGTCGTCTAGACGCCTATTTTTGCTTCTTTCTTCTCACATTCATTTTCTTCTTATAGATTTGCTTTTGTCACCTTTTGTTGTCCTTCCCTCTCTCTCTCTCTCCCGCGCACCTTTTCTACTATGTTTGTTGTGAAAACATGCAAATAAGATAGTTGCAACTGCTGCACCTTGTATAAAAACAATTTCTTTCTCAAGTCACATGTATCACTTTTTCCAGTTGTGTGACTAAAACATGAAAACAACCAAACTCCTACAGTATAATAAGCGTAGATGGGTAAACAACTGACGTAATCCAAAACATACTGATGTTCCACACACCTTTCAAAATTTGATACTAAACTAGCAGTAATATTTACCGAAGGATATCATTGTGTTGAGATCAAACCCACTCCTCTTGTTTATACCTTTTTGTTCCTCTTGGCTTCCGAGTGAAATACCAGAGCTTTTGAAGCACATCTTCATCTCATTCTGTTCTCTGCAGTCCTTATTAGTTGACTCTGCGATTGCCCATAAGTTCCTATTTCCTCTTCACTCAATCTTCTCCATGTCACCTTCAGACGCCCAACTGAGCGATGGTGTGACGCGTGATGTCACTTTTAGGTCTACTCTGTATTTGTCCAATTCATCTCCATTTCTCACAGTGTAGTTTTTGGGAGATATGTTCTTGGTCAGTTACTCCCCAGAGTTCTTTGCTGTTTATTCTTATTGTCGTCAGTCTGATCTTTATTATAGAGTCAGTGAAGTTAGCCGTTAATGAATATCCACAGTCTGTCTGAAATTGTTTTGGTTACGCACTAATTCTCTGAATCATATCACGTACTGACTTGACATTCGTGTTGAAAATCCGAATTTAGTTCCTTATGGTGAGTGCAGCAGATTTC